GTGCTGCGTTGACTATAATTGTCTTTTTTTCGGGTTGTACGATCTTCCTGATAAAGCAGAGAGGTCGTAACAAAGTGGCCCTGTTACAAAAGCATACCGCGTTATTATGCGGCTCACCGGCGCCTGGTATCACGATCAATACGAAGGATATCAAATTACCCACACCGATCGTGGTAAACAATTTGTCGCAATCTCGACTATCGTTGAAAAGCAAAATTGCATCAAACAATGATTACAAATTTGGCGATGGCGATTCGAGCGAGCAGCATAGTATTTATGAGAAGATTAATAAAATATCCCCGCAACCATATGTCAAATGTGAAACGAGATCCAATTATAAAACAGAACATTTTGGTATGTATAGAATTATATATCAATGACCGTTATTGACATTAATGATTAGCTCTAATATCGATCGTCTCCAATTACAGAAGCGATTGAGAAATTTTATTTTATTTGATATTAGAAATCCAAACGCAATATCTCTGTATATATATATATATGTGTATATATATATATAAAATCAGAATATAACGATTATCCGATGATTAATAGAATACAATAATTTATTTAATTTGCTTCTTTCCATTCTATCTGCATTCAATAATAATTTATGTTGCCCCAATTTTCCTTTACCAATTGATTTTAATTTAGTCGTGATTAATTTCATATTTAATAACATGGACATTAATTAGTAAAATAAACGAAATTATTTATGAACTTGCAGTAACAAGCATCATATTATTACATTTATTAAATAATGCTTGTGTTCAATTAAACGTCTTTTATACATGCTCAAATTATATTTTAGCATTATTAACATGACTCTGCATATATATTTTTTTTAGATACTAAATCTAGTGATGATTTCTCCGATGAAGTGGAATGTATAGTGCCAACGATATCGAAAAAAGTGGGTCACTCGCAAACGGGAAAAATTAATCAGAGAGTATATGAGAGTTATTATGCGGCTACAGACATTTTGACGGTAAGAAGATTTGCAACATATATAAATAATGATAATTTAAACGATTTTGCGATCGTTAATGCAATGCGGTTAATCGATACAGTATTACGGTATGTTGTAGATCAAGAGACGCGATCAGCATCCCGTTGTGAGTCTATTCACGCCACTACTCATTCGGGATTCGATCGTGTCATACAAACGCGGGACTTTTGACGTACCGCGTATCTCTCGGCATAGATTAAGAATCCTCGATAAGCTCGGTGAAGGAAACTTCGGTTTGGTGAGTCTTGTATTTCCGATTGTTGTCCTAGATATGAATCGCTATAAAGGCATCCTTTTCTTTAGATATGTTTTAAACGTCTTTTAATATTTTTGCAAAATTTTAATTTTTTACACGAAGAATGAATCGCATTTAAGTTCACCTATTTCTGATTATTTTTCTGAACATAAATTGCTATAAAAGCATCTTTCTCAGATGTTTTTTTAGATATATTTGCTGTTTAATTTTTGTTAGAATTTTTAATATAAAGATGTGCATCTTATTTAGGTTCATTTATGCGAAGCAAAAGGCATACAAAATCCGGATCTAGGCATCCTTCAAAACCGTCAAGTAGTTATAGTTCGATCCTTATGGCGCGGCGTGGTTGACGCTTTAAGGTAAAAGCATATCACGTTTTATTTAATGAGTTTCTGCAAAGCTCTTGAATTGTTACGAATATGTATCATTTTAGGGAAGACTTTATGAACGACATGCACATCTTGGCTGAAATACGAGATGTCAATATCGCCAGGATAATCGCGATCGTTGAGGAAGAACCTTTTAGTGCCATTTTCGAATACGGAGAACTCGGGGATCTATCAAGTTTTCTAAAAAATCACGATCGCGATGCACCGATAAGGTAAAATTGTATAACGATTCGATCAGAGATTTCGTCTATTTTCTCCAAAGGTATTCACAAAATAATGAATTCCAGTTACGAGTGCTCGTTGAATTTGGTGACGCAAATCGCTTCAGGTATGAAATACCTCGAAAGTTTGAACGTATCGCATTGCGATCTAGCAGCCAGGTAACAATACATTCTTTATATATTTTGTGATAATATTACGTACGTGTGTTTTACATGTGTGTCAATACATTTTGTAGGAATTGCATCGTTTGTAAAGATTTGCTGATTAAAGTATCCGATCAGGCCATGTACTGCAGTAAATATGACAGCGAATATTACGTTGACGAGTGCTACGCGAAGATACCATTACGTTGGATGGCATGGGAAGCGGTCTTATTGGTAGTTGTTTCTCTTTTAATTAAATAGATTTAAAAAAAGAAAAGGATCTTGTTTAATCTAGTCTTCTCAGTCATTCGTATATACTTCATTTTTCAAATAAAATAGTATCAAATTAAATGAAATATGTTGAGAAGGGCTATGAGCCAAAAATAATAGATTTAATGTATTTAATATACACTAACAAAAGGTAATATAAAAGTAATGCTACAACAAACGACGTTTCGACTCCGATCATTCTCAATGTTAAACATATAATACTAATAACTCTATAAACATAATAATCAGAATAATAAATTATAAACTAAAAACAATAAAAAAGGAAAAATACTGACTTCAATTCGATGTAAAAAACGATGGCACTGATTCTCCAAACAGTAGACAAGTAGCGATAATTAGATCCAAAAATTCCTTATGTTTGAAAAATGTCGTAGTGTGTAAACAGTAAGTGTGATTTATCGTTGATATCGCCATTACAATCAGTTCTTTTTAAATAACTTATTATCAGTAGTCAATAATAGATGAAATCGGTGATAATAAATCTGTTATATTTCGAACAAATAATTAACGTCTTAGTAAAAGTAAAGATAGATAATACAATGTAACATAAATGTAGAATTAAAAATAGAATTGTGAAAATATATAAAAAGCATTTACCTTAGTGGAAATAAAATAATATAAAGGATTGTTTTGAGAAAAAAAGAATGTTAAAAAAATTGAAACATTTGATTATTTTATCCGAAAATTTTGTAGATAATATTTAAATCAAATTGAGAATAATACTTCTCGTCTATGTTTAGGGAAAACGAAGCTGTCAATCCGACGTTTGGTCATATGGCGTGACGGTTTGGGAAGTGTTAACGCGCTGTGAAGATGTACCGTACGCCAACATGACCTCAGAACAGGTATTAGAGAACTGCGGTCTATGGTACTCGTTGGACAACGGCAGTAAGAAGAAATGTCCGCGAATTCTCGAGCAGCCGATGTTTTGCGCGGATGATCTGTACCGGCTGATGCTGCGATGTTGGTGCAAACTTGCGGAGGATCGACCCAGTTTCCAGGAGATTTACTGCTACCTCAAGAAGCTGACTCTGGATTAAGTGTGCGCAAATGCGAACGCATCTCTGCCGAAAGAGAATACGAAAAACGATCCATGCTCCAGCAGCAGCGGCGGCGCGGACCAAATCGATTACAATCAGCTAAGAAGCATCCTGAATTCTTTCTTGATCGCTTTCGCAGGTGGCTCGAACTAATTCGCGAATTGAATCGATTCGAGAAGTCGTAAATGCCTAAACACGACAATGTGGGATGCTCTCTGGCCACTAAAATTACTGCTCAACTAGATTTATCTAATTTTGATTATATAAGTAAGTGTAGGCTAATAACGTAATGATAAAAATTCAATGCGGCGGATAATCGCAAGTTTCTCGTATAATCTTCTACGCATGTCAAGGAATAATCTGAGAATAATCTTTCAATGATTATTTCCGTAATAATCAGTATTCCGCGAGAAATACGTGATTTCGCGAGCAAGAGAGATTCATCTATTTACTAATTTATTACTTTACATATCTTTCCTACGCTTATACATATATATATATATATAATATACATATGTGATACTCATTATCGTTTTTACTGTTAAAAAATATCGTTCCATTTCTTCTATATCTATTGTCTAGGTAGCCGAACGCAGTAAAATGACGATGTGAACAAGCTTTCCAACTTGTTGCAATTTTGCTCGAGTTTATTGCAGATTTTGCGCAAAGCTTTAGTCGCATTTTGTCGGCTGAAAATTTTATATCATCGTCAGAATTCGTTGCATGTAGCCGAAGTGAAATAATATAAGTAACAAAATCGGCATAAGCGAGCGTAATACTCAATTACGTCGAAGAATGACAATCAGTTTTGCTCACCTATTTATATGTACTTATTTTACGAAATAATATCACGATGTACTCGTATTGATCGATTCAGCTTGTCTATCTTAGGAAGAAGGTGGATCGTTTGATCTTTAATCAAATTTCGCAGTGGCGCAAGATTTTTAAATAGAAATAATCTTCATATATATCCTTTCTTATATATGTATCTCTTAAGCTAAGTCATTTCCAATTTTATTCGGAAATACATAATTCGGGATGTATTTGGAACGAGGGTGCTCTTTAACGATTCGCGTTATTAATTCTTCCAATTTAAGAATAAGATTGTGTATTTGAACAATTTTTGTGTGCCAAATAGTAGTAATTCAGAAAAGGTGCGTTTCAGGATGTAACTTTGTATAAATATTTTGTTCCAAATGGTTATAATTAGATTTCTAAAGTATACTTCCATTTTAAGGTACACTCCGTGCATAATAATGTTACCTAAGAAAACGATTAAAAAAAGGAGCAAAAGAGCAAAAGATGAGAATCACAATTACGATTATTGGAAACAACAACGACGATAATAACGATTATGGTAAACGTACAATTTTAGATTATATATGTTTATAACAGATGTAACGTTTAATTAAATCAAATTTGTAATATCAATCATGCGTATTGTTTTCAAACGTAGATCCGACCTAATCTTATCTATGTGTATATTTAAGGATTAGCTACTTCTTTAGATTTATTTGATATTGACAGAAAACGTTTCAACGTGTTAAACTTCAGAGAAATCCAAACTTTATTTTACATATAATTAATAATTAAATAACTAACAAATAATTCTTTATAAATTGATTAGCAATTATTATAATCTACGCAGTTTCATATAAGACGCACGATATTCATTTCTTTATGAAAATCTTCGAGGGATTGTTCCCAGCGCTTCTCGAAATATATCCCTAGCAAGAACTTCGCATTCAATCCGGTATTTACAGACCACGAGAGATAATGATCTAAGTATAATTGCCTCTGTCTGAAATGTTACATGATACACAAAATAATGCTATATTAATGACAATTACAGGCTATCTTATAAAGTAGTTCACAGGTTTACCTAGGACGTAGTCGACTAGCTCCAAATATTGCGCCAGTTATGCACATCGGCAAATGCATTTGTAAAGCCTCTACCCACTTAACTGATACCTCTCCTAGCATCGTCGTTGGCATTAGAAGCATAGCATGAAAAATATCATGCACTTCTCGATATCGTTGCATCACATAAGCCAGCTCGATATCATCAACAAATTGCACTGCAGGTCTATCGTCGGGCGACACATTCTGCAATTATATAGCTCGCTCAGGAAAACGTGGAATCACATTTTGCTTGGTTTTCCAGGAAAAAAAATGATGTTATTAACAGTATTTACTAACGGTGGTCTAATTGAAAATAATCTTGTTAATACCATGACAGTATTAATGAAATGACATTTTATTAAAATAAGGACATGGTACGTTTGTTTCATTAATACCGTCATTGAATTAATAAAACTTTTCAATTAGACTATCATTGGCTGTTAATACATCTTTTTTTTTTCTGTGCAGACGGTAAGATTCATCTTACATTGTCATCCAAGAAATTGCGATAAGTTCTGCCCACAGTCCCAGGCGGCAGATCTTTGAGGTAAGAAAGGTCGACGGTGGACGTATTTATGCGTGGCTTTTGCGCGAGTATAAGTTGACCCTCGCTCGTATTCTTCATTTGTTGATGACAATACACGAGAGCGTTTCTACCGGTAGTTTCCCCCAAACACGCTATCATGTCGCCTCGAGACGGATTCGCCAACGATATAGCCGCCGAGCCCATCGTGAGAAGCACACGTTGCAGGGGGGATAGGGATACATGGTGCTTGGCATAGTCCTCCAGGAACGCCTCGCAGGCGGTCGCGAAACGGCCTGAAACCGAGTGAGGAAAGTAAGATTTGAAACCGTATTGTCAGTTAATAAATAAAATTTATTTCCATTAAAGTATCTGTCAAGTATATACAAATTAGTATATATATAGATTAATATCTAACTTTATGGCAACGTCGTACTCTAATTGATCTGCTTTCGTAATTAACATAATACTTATCTGGTAACACAATTTTACTTTGGTATACAGTCAGGTTGTCAATATTATTTTACGCTCCCTAACTTGAATAAGTTAAGAAGCACTTTATGATACGAGGAACAGAAATATTCATAACAGCTATTCGTTATATACACATCACCCTGTCATCGTTCAGAAGAAAGGAACGTACTCAACGATTTGTTCTTAATTGTCCTTTGTACAACGCTTTATATTATACAGAGTTACAGCATCACGTTCTTATAGTATAAAAACTTACAATCATATGGCTTGTATCTTACTGGCCTGAGATTCAGTCAACAAAGTGTACTTTGGCGGCGGACTCTCTCTTTTACGAAACGTTACCCACGTATATACTAAGCTACCTATCACACTTAAATTTAATCCTACAAAGTTTAACAACGAAAATATATAGTCTCCGCCGATCACCATGCCGAGATACGTCACACATATATTTTTCAGGCATCCGATTATAGTAGTCGTCAGCGCGGAGTTATACAGTGTACAGAGGAGCGTACTGTACGACAGGATAAAACCCATTATGCACGACAATACAAATTGCAGAATAAACAGCGGATTTGTCCAATTGGGAAACTCTAATGCCAGATCTATGTCGCCCATCCACCAGGCCATCAGGACCGTTGGGCCGAGCATAAACAAAGAATTATAATACATCAGTCCGTACTTTCCTAATTCCTTAGAATCTAGCTTCTTCTTCATATATACACCATTAGCGGCGGTGAAAAAATCGTTCAATAGGATAAAGACATAGCCTTCGAGATTGAAGGCAAGATCGTTGAGTGCGGCTACCACTGCGCCTAGGATCATGGTATAAACACTCAGCTGTATGGACAGACGCGCCTTGATACCGAGGATGTAGTACTCGGCGATCATCGTCATGAGGATACTGAATCGCCTCAGGGCGGTGAACATCGGTAGGCTTAGCTGCTTGGTGCCACCCAGGCCGAATATCATGTTGCCGATGTATATCAGCGGCAACGGCCATATCTTGGTGAAGGTCGTCACCTCCAGATTGGGGTACTCGACATAGCGCAGCCTCCTGGCGAAGAATAGGACCAGGATCGTCGCGAGCATCTGGCCGATCCCCAGCACTTGGAAGGACGGGAAGGCGTACGACGTGAGGATGGTTTTGTTGACGACCGTTATCATGAACGACGACAGGCCGTAAAAGAACGCCGACGCCACCCGGACGAACATCGCGTTCTGCTCGTGTTCCGTCATCGTGGAAGGAAAGAACAGAGCAGGTCTCTCTGCCACTGAACTTCGCACTTATCTGCTCATACGTGCCTCCAAGAACACCGTTATTGCGATAAATAATAACACGAATCGAGGAACCTACGCTTAGATAACCTTATCATTCCTCTTCCGTTCATGGCAGCGGCGACTCGGACGTGTACTGGACCGGCTCCGGAGTGAAGGCCTCGGTGCGATTCCTCGTAAACCGTGTAATTGTCAAGTCTGAATCGTGTGATGCGATCGCAAAGGCACGCGACGAGAGTCCTTCGTCGAACCTCGTTCTGCAGCAGAAAAAAACAAACTGCGACAAGTGTAGACATGGTGGACTCCGAAGGCGCGAATTCTTAAGTTGGGATTTTCGTCAGCGTTGTTAAAATTAAGCTCACCATAATGTTTAGGTTTTAGGCGTATTTTTTTTGGATACACTTTTTGTACTATTTATAATACACGTTACTCTTTTTCTCTCTAATTAAGTCTCTTTTAAAAATGTGGAAAGTATGAAGAATAAATCTTTCTCGATCGTATGAAGATCACCGATTGATACAATCATTATTCTTCTGTGAATCTTTACGAGCTCGATTGTGTTTAAGTACATTTAATGCGAATGTGTGCAAGAATGATTTTTGGGCACTATAAATCTTCCGTTTTTTGCAATTTTCACATTTGGAGTGCGTTCGGGGAGACGCTATTAGCGCTGTTTGTGTCATTCTATCATCATTCATTGTACATAAAATAAGGAAAGAATGACACAAATAGTGCTAACAGCGTTCTTCCTGAACGCACCCGTGGTTTCAATTCAAATATAAATGCTTTTCGTGAAATATTTTATCTCCGATTATGAATTTCCCTTATCAAGAAGATCGTAGGTTTTTTATAAGCGTATCGTAAGACACGGAGATTGTACGTCTGAGATTCTTTGTTCGTTTCACGTCATGCATGTTTATCATCTTTCGCGACACAACGTCGTTCCTTACAGTTCTTATCTCACCACGTTGCATTGACGTTGCATGTTGCATAACGATTCTCTAATTACGAAGCGACAGCGGAATTTGCCGGCACGGGTGCCGCCATGTTTTTTTCACGGTTGGCGATCGTGAATCGTCGTGAATCATCGTGCGGTATGGATTTCGGCGATCGGGACGAAGGGGTGGGGTGGGGGGGAGTCTTCTCCCCCACGAGAGCAGAAGGTCCGTGTATCCCTCCGCTGTCGGTTGCCATGACAACGACCGGAACGCGGAACTACTTTGCGGAAGTTCGCCCATTAATTCCGGATAGCCGGTGGCGGGCGACACGACTTCCTAGGTACCGCTCTTGAATTCGCGATACGAATTCCTCGCACGAGTCGACCGAGTCCCGGAACGTGAGACTACCAGAGCGGGTCCTGCGAGATTTCCAACCGAGAAGTTTGCGACGTTCGCGTTCCATTGTCGCCCGTCGACGTTACGAGCCGACGTCGATTGGATTCCTCCTGAAACCGTCCGCGGAAAGGATACCCAGGATTCCCGATGTAAGTACGCGATGACAGCTTCGCGCGATCCACGAATAGGTCGCGTCCGACGACGAGACGTCCCGCGGGACGCCCGGAACGTCCGCGAGACCGTTTGCAGAGGAATAAACCGCCCTGTGTGCGATGGGCAGTTCCATCCCGTTCGGCGACCGTCGATCGATAACGAGGCTGATATTGACTACTTGGAAATTGATTTTTCTCCCTTGTCTGTTCGCGACACGATCGAACAGGCCTGCGGTGAACTTTTACCGCGGCTATCCGCTCGCGACAGATCACGCTTTTATCTTTATTTCGTCCGATTGTCCGTCTCGATCGAAACTGGTGATACTCTCCATAGATGTGACTCTTCTTTATATACTTATATCAAAAAGGAAAACGAGAAGACAGTAGGAAATTGCTACTGTTCGTTATAAGAATTTCTTTTAACAAATAAAAGACTAATGGAGCTCTATAAAAAAAATATATATATATAAATCTTTAATTTAGATATTTAATCAGTCTATATCTATTTCTATTCCTTTGTATGATAATGTTTATTGATTCTACTATATAATATGTATTTTCAGATTAAGCAAAATATTTTTTTTGTAGATGAAATTATTTAAAGAGAAATATATGAGTCTTTAATTATATATAGATATTTAATTAACACTGAATCAGCCTATACCTAATTATTTTGTACTTCTTTATATATGATAATATATTTATTGATTCTATCATATATTTGTAGATTTAGTAAGTATTTTTTGTGAATGAAATTATAAAAGAAATGTATAAAAATCTTTAATTTAGATATTTAATTAATATTGGATCAGTTTATACCTATTTACTTTTTATTTTTTTGTATATGTTTAATGTATAACAAAGTTTAATTTAGATATTTAATTAATACTAGCTCAGTCTATACCTTTTTTGATTCTACAATACAATATATTTTCAGAAATTCAGTAAAATATGATTTATAGATATACAATGAAAAATTTTTTATTCTTAAATATCAAAATTATACAGCTTGTTGTACAATTATTGCATTTATTTCACATACGTTTAGATTCGATTGCTTCAAAGGTTTATGTAAAGCTTAGGAATAGTACATTAATGTCTTAACTGCTTGGTAGCCTATAATTCCAAATGCTACGAAGAAAGTTATCGCTCTCATAGGTTGTTGTTGTAAAAATATGTATGATGCAGTGTGAGCTATGCGAGAAAGTACAAAGGTTCGAATAAAAATTTTGGCCAACCATGGCGAAGGTCCTGTTCCTAGCCAGAGATATGTGATAATGAACCAAGGGAGAATATTTTCCAAATCATTTAAGTGTGCCCTGCGTACACGCTCCACATCTGGATCATCATAAACCACCTTGCCTTTACCTGCGTGCATAATATCTTCTTGATTTGCGAATGCCTGCAACAATTGATCATAATCAATTTCTAGTTAATTAATTCTGATGTAAACAGGTCACGATAGCTGTGTTCTCAATTCACTATCAGTGCTAAGAATCTATAGTATACATTATATGCATTGTAGATTTTTGACACTGGCAGTGAATATTGGAATATAACCGATAAGATCAGTCCCCTTGTTTATTTGGTTAAGAAAGAAAATTTATAAAGTGTTTCTTTGTTAAACTCAAACGTTTAGAATCTTCTAAGAATAACTTTGGACATAGAGATAACCCGCATAATTTCTATTTAGAATATTTGCTTTTAATACAACAAATTTTTTCCAAACTCATATTTTTTGAAATTTCAAGATTATTGCAATTTTTTTTTAATTAAATAATTTAAATAAATCCTATGATTCTTCTAATTATTCGGCGTATAATATTAAGAGTTATAAAAAGTCAATAGTTCGTGAGATATTTTATATTTTATTCTGGCACAATTTGATATGAAATATTATGTAAATATTTCATAAATTATTCATTTTTTGATAATTATATCTTATTACTTGTACTTTAATACTTATATACATAGAATAATGAGAGGAATCAATCGGTATAAAGAGAACATAGTTGCTTTTAAAACAATATGCAACTACATATCTCTTAAAAAACGCACACAACTATGTATTTTCTTTACATACATAATTGATTTATTCTGTGCGTAAAAGTGTTGATACAGTTTTATCTGTATATATAATATGTGTATGTAAAAAATGAGTAGTTTACGATACATTTTTTATCAAATGTGCCAGAATTAAAGTATAAAATCTCTTATAAACTATTGATTTTTTGATAATTCTACTTTAATATCCACTTTTAATATGCAAAATAACTAGAAGAATCATATTATGTAAAAAATCATATAATTCCACTTAAAAAATTTATGACCTTGAGAAGAAATTCTTTTATAATATAATATTTCAAATCAATAATTTTTTAAATATGTATTTTGTCGTATCATTAAAAGCAATAGAAATGTTCTAAATGTTCGAGTTAAAGGAAATATCTTGTATATGTAGATAAAAGAAATATAGTAACTTTTTGATTAGAAATTCAAATACATTTAAATTATTTCTTGTTTCAAGTATATAACCTGTTTTAATGACAGTGACACAAACGGCCTCAAGACAAAAAAATTTTATGTTTGTAATTTAATTAGAGACGCTTCTTATATGAAAAAAATATATATAATATAACATGAATACATATAATATATAATATATCTTGTCTCATATAACTATTTTGTTACGCACGTTTTTTCTTATTCGCTGTCGTGCAGTTAACGGTGTCATCGCTAGCAGTTTTAGAACCAAGATACTACCCCAAAAGCCGAATACTTTGAGTACTTCTGGATTTATTTCAGGCATCTTTTCTGGTCTTCAAATTCGTCTTCTCGAATGTACAATGATGATTCTGCTAGTTTTATGTTGCACGTAGTCAGTAGAGTGACTTGACTGCTTGACAATAACGGACATTCCCTACTTCACCTAACATACACATACACTTGAAACAGATATCTCTCACTATATATACATGTACTATAGTACATGTACATATAATGTGTTTATTAAAGGCGGTTATAGTATTATTAGTTAATCTTCGAACATGAATCAGCAAATTTGAAAAGTGTGAGAAAAAGTAAGATTGTTTTCTTTTAATTACATATTCATTGAGATAAAATTTTCTCATGTATCTAATATCTTTTGATGTCATAAAAAAATGAAATAATTATATTTTTTATATGTATAAAGCATAAGACTGCACTCTTTCAATTGTATTGGTTCTGTTATTAATTCGTTTTAAAATAATTTAAATGTATAATTTTATTTAATCAATTCTCAAGTATTTATATTGTGAAATTTAGCCTTGTAGACACTTGATAAAATTAAAATGAAGTCTAGAAAGAGTAAAATATTCATATCTTTAGCTGCACTTTCAATCATCTTATTACATTCACATTACATCATTTACAGAAATAAAACATATTTTCAGATTTCGAAGACAGGATTATAAATGAAAGAAAAGAATCATAAATAAAAGATTTGCAAGTGCATACCAATGTAGTAAAAGTGGTCAAATTGGTAGAAACTAACATTTATATTATAATTTTGAATTCTCAATTTTCGTGAAATCAAACAGAAAATCATTTATATTTTTTTTCCAAATAACATGCTGTTTGACGAATATTTAAAGATCAAAGGTTACAAAGATACTCCAAGCATCTCTTTAACCTAACTTAACCTAGCATAATCTTGCAATCTCATATCCTCGTGGTTTCGTGCTCGTCGGCTTTTTTTTTTGTCAGAAGCATAACCAGCGACTACAGCGCAACATCAGATAATGAATTGCCTGTGATTGGCGTATACTTTCGGATCGGCGAATCCGATTGGTCTCTTTTAAATTAACATTTTAGATTATTTTATATTAAAACGAGAAATTATTCCCTTATATTTACTATATATATTATATTACTATAAATTTTTATATTTATTCTATATATAAATTATTCAATATTTTTTATTTTGTGCCAAAATATTTTTTATTGTTCAAAGTTTATATAGAGTGGGACATTTAAAGTGTTACAAGCTACGTAATTACATTTTTGAAAAGCAGCTATACGAGGTTTTTTATATTTTATGTCAAAATATGCCAGAATAAAGTAATGTATCCCGTAAACTATTAATTTTTTGATATTTCTTAATATTTTTGTATGCAGAATAGTTAGGGGAATAATAAAAAAAAATATATTCTACTAAAAAAAATGGAGGTAACTTGTAACCTTGAAACATTGATTTAAAAAAATTTTATCATTATTTGTTCCCTTTGAAATCATACAACTTTTGTCTAAACGTATTTATGATTCAATAAATACTTTCAAGGATAACAACTTGTAATACTTTAAATGTCCAACTCTGTATATACTAAAAACAAACTGAACTTAGAATTTTTATTAGGAAAGCCTATATTTTATTAAAGATATTATATATTTTTGTACGTGAAAATGTATAATTTTATAAATCATGCTAAAATTTCTAGGTATACTCGTGACCGAGATCAGAGTAGTAGGGGCCGTCGTGGTGGTACTGCAAAGATAGGAACAACTACTGGCAGAGGCGGCATCGATAATGGACGCGGTGGTAGCAGGTTTGGCACACCTAGAGGAAACGCCAATAATTTGCGAGGAGGATTGAAAGGAAAGCAACCTGGTGGCGGTCTAAGGAAAGTAAACTGGGATCTTTGTACTTTGGAACCAATACGCAAAGATTTTTATATAGAGCATCCTGCAGTCAGGAACAGGTATTGGTACTATTAGTAATATTAAATTTAGTATGGAATAAACAATGAAATGTGCTCACGAATTTAATTTTGAGTTAGATCTAACGAAGAAGTATATCATTTTCGAGAGAACGCAGAAATAACTGTGAAGGGTGACAATATTCCTAATCCCGTACAATATTTCGAGGAGGGAAACTTTCCACCTTATGTAATGGAAGGTATTCGTAGAGAAGGGTATTTGCAGCCTACTCCAATTCAAGCTCAAGGATGGCCTATTGCACTTAGCGGCAGAGATCTTGTTGCAATCGCTCAAACTGGCTCTGGAAAGACACTTGGAGTAAGCAGAATTAGAAGTATATTTAATACAATAATAAATAGATATAATATAATAGTAAATACGTAAATATATTTAACCAATGAGAGAATTTTAGAATGTTTTATTCGTTTCCGTTTTTGTCCAATTATTTAAATAACTTTACATACATACTTTATATAGTTTAAATAAAATGTTGATTAAAATAATATATTTACTATCTTTTTTCAGTATATTTTACCTGCAATTGTGCATATCATACATCAACCGCGCATAAACACTGGTGATGGACCAATTGTCTTGATCTTAGCTCCAACCAGAGAATTAGCTCAACAAATTCAAGAAGTAGCTAATAGCTTTGGAGAGACTGCGGCTGTAAGAAATACGTGTATTTTTGGTGGGGCTCCAAAAGGACCACAGGCACACGATTTGGAGAGAGGCATTGAAATATGTATTGCTACGCCAGGTAGACTTATAGATTTCTTAGAAAAAGGAACTACAAACTTATGTAGGTATGTATATCTATAAAAATTCAGTGATAAATCAAAATTACCTATATATCGAAAATTAGCAATATAAATTTACACAATCTAAATATTCTTTTATTCGTTAATTTCAGATGTACGTATCTAGTTCTCGATGAAGCCGATCGCATGCTTGATATGGGATTCGAACCTCAGATACGAAAAATAATTGAGCAGATACGTCCCGATAGGCAAGTGCTAATGTGGTCGGCGACGTGGCCTAAGGAAGTTCGCGCGCTTGCAGAGGACTTCTTGACGGATTATGTTCATCTCAATATCGGTTCTTTGACTCTGTCAGCCAATCATAACATTACTCAAATCATTGATGTTTGTCAAGAGTATGAAAAAGACTCTAAGCTGTATAGATTGCTTCAAGAGATTGATACTGAAAAAGAGAATAAGACTATCATATTTGTGGAAACCAAACGTAAAGTGGACGATCTCACGAGAAATATTAGACGTGAAGGCTGGCAAGCTGTGAGTATTCACGGTGACAAAAACCAGCAGGAAAGGGATCATGTGTTACAAGAATTCCGCAGTGGAAGAGCGCCGATTTTAGTTGCAACTGATGTAGCCGCTAGAGGCTTGGGTATGTAAAATTCTATTCAGCAATGTTTTGGTGTAGGCGAGACACTAAGAAAGTCACGGTGAAACTGGGTATTGGCAACACTTATTGGATTAGCCGGATGATGCGTTGTTAGAGTGAGGCCAGCCGACAGCTGTGTATGTAGCAGTGTGTGATGCATTGGAACTTTTTTATCATATTCGTCTCGATTGTATTGTAGAGCCATGTAAAATTAACATTTTTCTGATTTATGCCTTTTTACATTTTTCATTCTGCAATTTTTTTGTTCTGTGATTACAGGTGTGTCAAACAATCTTTTTTAACAATTTGTTAATTTATTGTTTTTTATAATAATTTAATAAACCCATTTTTTTTTTAATTTTAACCCCATTCTTGTCATGTATAAATAAATCTCTCTTATTTTCATGTAAAAATCATAGAAACGTTTTTGCTACATACTTCAATGTTTAATTTATAACCATATTAATTATATTGATATATGACAAGTTTCAGTGTTGAAATGAAGAGTTATTAATTTTGATAATAATGTACATGTAAGATGAAGGTTCTGAAAATGCACACAAGCTACCACTAAGTCTGTCTGCTTTTCTTTTTCAGAGGCACAGAGTACCCTAACTCAACGCGGTGTACTGCCAGTATTGGGCAGACACAGTGACTATTTTATTTTCCTTTGTTTATATATTATAACAATTTCTAAATGGAAAGTTAGATTTATATGCGATTTAACTTCTGTCTTAATTTTCTCATTATGGAATAGCAAAGTAGACTTTGTAATCATCATTAATGCACTAATCAATAATCAATATGTTAAATAACATGAAAATCACAATACATGTGTATTCAAATATTATTTGTAGTAATTAAGAAATGAAATGGGTTTCTTTTAAGCAAAGTTTCAAATATGTGAATTAATAATTATAAACATATAAACTTGTAATTGCAATATGAAAACTCAAAAAGTGCAATTGCTAAATTTGTCCAGTGCCTCTAACTTTAACTTTAAGAAATGACCATACACAGTGCCTATCAAAACTAATGCACTCAGGCTTAAACCCTAAATTGCTGCCTCTATCCCAAACCAGACACAACCGCTGTGTCTGTCTAATCTCTAGGCCGCCAGTATATTACCATAAGAAAGCAATCAGAATTGCCCCACTTTAAAAGCAAACGGGGTCGTTCTTGCTGATTTCACATCGGAATTTTCAAACAAAAGGTGGGTGTCTAAATCTATTTTATTGACTGAATTTATCTGGAAATTAATATCGATAATTTTTTGCCAAAAATGTAGTGTTATATTCAATGTGCATTTAAGTTATTTAACATTTATTTATTATTAGAAATATATTTTTTTTTATTCTTTCAAACAACCTTATCAATATCTGACTATCTATATGCATGAACACAAGCACTAATATATCAAGTAATGACATGTTTAATTAAATGAGGAATATCAATTTAGTTTTCGAATTCAGAAAACATTATAAAATAATAACTTTTATATATATATAATAATTTTATAATTATACATATTACAGATTTTTTTAGTTTACATATGCTTTATCAAAATATTTTGTTTTATATGACCAATATAATATTATAAATAACATTTTTCGTAACTACTACTTCACAGATGTGGATGATGTGAAATACGTGATAAATTTCGATTATCCATCTTCGTCGGAGGATTATATACACAGAATCGGTCGAACTGGACGTAGGCGACAGACCGGAACGGCGTATGCGTTTTTTACAAGTCACAATATGAAACATGCTGGAGACTTGATAGAAGTTTTACGAGAGGCGGGACAGAATGTCAATCCGCGTCTCAGTGAAATGGCAGAGATGGCCAAGGCGGGAAATTTCAGCAGAAGTATGTTTTTGCATAGAGTCCATATGCATTGAATGTCCATATTATCCAAATTTGTCTACATTTTTATTCTAATGATTCTTACACAAAGTAAACTTTGCTCTCACTCTAACAGTATATGATGAATGGGGAAGAAAAAGTTCACTTTATGGACATTTGATTGTAGTGATCATAATCATTAGATATTCTCTCTCTCTCAATCGATTATTTCATATATTTCATATGATAAGGTGTGAAACGTTTCGGCGGTTCTTCTGGTGTTAATGGCGTTGAAAGGAGTAATAACCGAAGAAGTAATGATAGAGGAAGAGGTGGTTCAGCAAGAGGAAGAGGTCTTGCTCGCAGCGGGACTTCTTATCAGCCTTCTTCAAACGTTTATTCGGGACCGGATTATAGTAATTATAATATGAAACAGAGTACTTCTTTGAGTCAGAATACGGCATATGGATATAGCACGCAGAGAAGCTATGGACAGGGAAGTATGCCTCAAAATTATGGAGGTGGCGATAATTACGGAAGTGGTTATCCGTACAGAAGCACAACTTATTAATTCTGTTTTTAATGGACGATTGATAGCACGTATTAATTCTGTTTTTAATAGACGATTGATAGTATGTAACAATTCAACGGTAAAATGTGTCACATTAAGTATAGTGAGATTCGACAGGATGCAGATAAGAGTCTGTTAAAGTTATAATAGATGAAAAAAGGATATATAAGGGCACAGAAAACGAATATAATAAGTTATGCAGCATGATAATAAAAATATCGATACGATAGTATACGATAGTATACATTACATTCTATATCAAGTGAATAACGACTAATTGACTTTGCAACTCAACAATTATAAGTTTATTGAATGTAATGTCCATCCGTTTGCATATATGTCGAATTTGCACTGAGTAAACCAAAGAAAACCAAAGAAACTTCGGCACCATTTTAATGCAATTGTAACTTTTATTTTACAAGTTATTGTTATTTAAAATATATTAATTAATATTTAATAAGAGCAGGAGAATGTAAATTTCTGTTGGAAATTATATAATATTGGAGTGCAATTACTCAAAAAGAGCTCAAGTATTTATTTTTTTCTTTAAGCAATTTTAAGCTTTATTTTATGATAATTAAGTATGTTATTTATAAGTTTTACGATATGTTACAGAATTTTTTTCCGCAAGCAATATGTGGAGATATATGTTGATTATACGTCAATTTTTTCTCTTATGTTAGCGTTTATAACGTATCACATTTTATTAATATTAGCGGATAAATAACTTTTTTGTTATAAATAGTACAGTGAGGGAAAAGTTACTCGGTATTTGCATCACACTCGTGTGCAATATTTAGATTAAAGATGTTTATATATAATAACTTGGATTCTTTAAATTTATGTTTAATTATGTTAATTATTTCATCTTATATATTTTTAAGATAAAGATTATTAAAAATTATTAGTTTTTATATTTTGATAATGTTAACACATCATTTTATTTTATCTGACTGAATTTTTCAACAAAATATTTTAAATTATAATGGTAAATAACATCTCTAATTGGATCTTCCGATGAATTGTAGGAACTATGGGAATGTGATAAAAATTTGTCAATGAATTTGTAGGAAGAAAGTGCAATTGATAGATTATATATAGATGTATTATTCATTTTATTAATGGGACTGCGAGAGTTCTCCGCAAATGTGCGATCTTGTAACGAATTTGATTGGATGTATAAGTAGATATTGGTTAAAACCTATCTAAATAAAATAACAAGAACGCATAATCTTTGTCATTTTAATTTATAATTGATTGCAAATAACCAATGTGACACTTAGTGTCACATTATATAAATTATTTAACATGATAAATTATTTGGTAAAATATATGCTGAACCTTTTATTGATAAAGTTTATGTTTCTGGTGCATATATGAGTTTATAATCTGAAGACTACACTACTAGTTACTGATACATACAACCGAATTCGCTTTTAGATAATCAGCTGGGTAGAGTTAATCAATTATGTTTAATTATTTGTGATATATTGAAGATATTGAAAATTGATCAACAACTGTGTTTTTGTTTAATATCTGTGATTATTTTGCTGTGGAATCTCTTAGGAAAAAAATATTAATGTGTGTCATTTGTTGTGTGAGTCTGTGTTATAGAATTAATAAAATTAACTTTCGCTTTCTTGAAAGCAGTCGAGTTCTCCCCTGTTCTCAGCATGAGATATGTATCTCTGGTACATATGAACTATTATTGAACATTCAACAAGAAAAAAGAAATGAAGGATATCGTTTCACATAGCAACTTGACTAATATGATCTATTCAGATAAACCTGCATAATTATATACATTTATGTGCATAAAGAAAGGCTAATAAAATATCTAATTCAAGATAATTAGTCTATTTTTCTGCATATGCAGCTTGTAACTTTATAAATTTGTCTGGATAGATATTGACTGCATTCAGCAAAGAAAGCAGCTTTGCAACTGTTGTAAGATTCCTTAATACGATTGGTTTTTATTCTTAATTCTTCGCGGATCTAAATGTATAAATCAATCATATTAAAGAATTTTATAGCAGTTGCAAAGTTATTTTTCATGTTAAATACAGCCAATAATTGGTTTTTTGATTGTCATATTGCTAAAATAATGTAGATGTGTAATATTACATAACGTAGTTAATTAAGTAAAATAAATTTTTATTTATAGGGGGGTACTCAAATTAACCAGGAACAATAGTCTTTGTGATCCTGGAATTTTTCCTAATTTTTTAAATAGTATTGATTTGAAGTAGTTTTACAATCTTATTTTTCAGTTTTAAACTTGAAAAATCTTTAAAAAAAAAAACTTTAATGGTTTCAAGACCTCATATGTCCTTTTTTAGCTTAAAAAAATGTGGTTCTGTTATGGGTTAAGGATTTTTTCTTAAATTCTTACGTTTTTTCGATATATTAATTATTAATAATATTATGTAAAAAAAATAATATTGAACGTGCCGATGCTGTGTTCAATTTCGACGCTCATGCGCTGTAAGCTTCAGTCTCTTTTCTACAAGTAACGAATGCTAGAGAGTGCGATATTAATAATTTTTAACGACTGACAATGTAACGATATCGTTACAATAATTAAAAAGAGTTATAGAGTAGGGCTCTGATGCTGCAAAAAGCATTTATAGCATTAAGTGAATCGTGATCAAAGATAGAACGAAATTTAATTAACATTAATAAATAAAATATTTACAATTATAAATTTACGCTAATTTAATTTAATAATTTACAACGCGTGACCGTCGCAACCAAACGCAACTATCTTTGAATTTGGCGCGACGCATTTAGTTCCACAGTATACCTAAACGTGATGGCGCTGGAGATTTTAAATTGGCTTAACTTTCAGTTCCGGCGCAGAACACTCGCGTTTTTTTTTTTTTTTTCGGGTCTTGATTTCTCTAGAGGTTTGTCGCGTCGCATGCTCCAACATGTTCCAATATGCTCCTACCATAATTCTTATTCACTCCAACGTGCTTGATAGAGTGAATAGAAGCTATAGTAGGAGCATGTTGGAGCATGTTGGAGCTTGCGACGCGAACAAACCTTCTATCATCCCGAATATCGACGTTCAAATAGTAGAAATATTTAAATCTCTCTCGATTCGGACAATACTTTCTGTGAAAAGAAGCGCACGATTGTCGGAGATCGTGACTGTAGTAGGTTTCTATTAGGTGGAACTACTTTTTACCGGCCGCCATGATGCCGTGACGCCGACACCCTTTTCTCCTTCCCGTTCCGTCGCTACTGTTGCTCGTTCCTTCAACTGGCTGGTTTGATAACGGGTGAACGTGTTCTCGTCACCCGGTCCGGATTTTCGACCCATATCGGTAACTACCAAGGAAATCGTACACAGGACAGTGACATATTCCCACCCGTTGCAATGTAAGTCCGCGCAAGACGACGCGAGGCAAATTTCGCTCTCGTCGCTTGTTTTCCGTTTAACGCTGCTACTTGTTCGCTCGCTCTTTTGTACGCCATTTTGCGAACGGGTCCTTTGTCGTGATCTCGGCGATCACGGGTCGCGGGAACTCGCAATGGAAATCGCAACGTCCCGAAATGGACTCTGGATAATGTAATACTACACGAGCGAAACACGTAATCGTGTAGCTGAACGAAATTACGCGACTCGAAATCTCCTGGATCGTAGATTACCTTGCATGTGTTTCGCACGCGCGTCACGTTGGCAAAAAAAAAATTCGCGGCAGGTTTCCGCTCGACGAGGCTTGAAGCACGCTAAAGGATCCTCGAGCTCGCGATTTTCGTTTGTATCGAAATTTATTGAGGAAAGAAGCGAAATAATGAGTTGTAGCGCTAGGAAGTTGCAGGAAGTTACGGGCAATTAACTGGTAATGCACAGCTATAGATTGTTAGGAAATCAGGAAGAATAAGCGAATTATGTTACATAAGTCTAAGCTAAGGTTTTCCTTACACGATGAATCCTTTCATTGTTTCATGCCCGTTTCTTTCAATAAACTTTATTCTTTATTATTATACTTCATATAAATTAACTTTAATCTTGAGTTTAGTTTTTATCTTTTTCTAATTTTTAGAAGGAACATGATGGAATTTTGGGAGTAGAGAGAGAGAATTTTCTATTCTCCCCCCGTAGCTAATTAATTAAGAGAAACTTCTCGAATATAAAATAGGAGTAGAGTATGTATTTTTGTAGCTGTTTTATTTTATTTACTTTGGCACTTAAAATGAGATAGCTATGTAATTATAGATGAAAAAGTAAAGGGGAAAAGTAAAAAGTACAAAGAATTAACAAAAAACAAACGTTATTCTCTCTTCCTTCAAGTTTCTTCTACACTTGCTGGCTATTCATAGCAGTGTATCTCATCTTTTCAATGTTTGATAATTTTTATATTTTGATTACAAATATAATATTACGAATATAAATACAAATATAATATTTATACTTGTAAGTACTTATATATTTACAAATTTTTATATTTTGATTACAAATATATAGCACGTTGCTAAAGAATCTAGGTATACAAATAGCTAAGCACATGCATGTACAAGTCCTTAAAAGTAAAAAGGAAAAAATAGGTCTGTTTTCTATAAATAAACAGTGTACACTTTTGAAACTTAAGGTACCTTTGAACATGTTCCTATTAGTTGAACTTTTTGCACGGTTCATTTTTTCTCTTTTTTTTCCTCCAACATTAAAAGAAAAGATGAACGTAAAGACCATGGCACATAGAAAAACTTAAGATGTAAAAGGAAATTAACTGCTCGGTCCACAATTTTGCTTTAAGAGACCATAAGTTGTAAGCTATAAGTAACGATATATAGATCAGAGTCAATAAAGACTAATGTGTGTTTGTTTGTTTGTTTTTTTTTATAGAATAAAACATTGTGTTTCTTCTTATATATGTTTTAATGCTTCAAATATGCTTTAAACAGTATTATAAAAAAAAACATTTAAAACATATTAAAAACATCAACTAAGTATGTTTTAAACTGTTTAAAACACATTTAAAACGTTTTTTTTATCAACCCTGATATAGATCACAAAACTTATGCTTTTAAGTCGTAAAAATTGGGTTTTGCTCAATTTGCTCAAGTCTAACGGTTAAAGCCTAAAGACTGCAAAAATAGTTTAAAGACAGAAATTATTGTCACTTAATCTCTTTCTTATGATTTAAATGTTGGATTCGCTACTGCTTACAGTCTCTACTGTGATTGATCAATTCGCTGTTTAAGTCTTACGTCTTAAGTTTTTCTATGTGCCATGCTTAAGAAATTCAGCTCAAAAGTATAGACCTTCGCATTAAAACATAAGAAAATCAATCAATCAATCAGTCTTTTATTTCATGGAAAGAGAGGAAATGAAAGATTTTGATTGGTTCATTTTCTTATGCTTTATTACAAAATTCTGTTTCCACCCCTAAAGTGAAATAGATACATAACGTGTTCGACATTTGGGGTATTTAATATTTGGTGGAAAAGAAATCTGGTGCAGAAATAAAAAAAGACACCTTAATTTACTTATGATCTTAGTTAGAATAATGCGAGATTTGTTTCTTTTTCTTTTTAAAGAATTAATGTTTAATGATTTATTTTATTTGAAAAAGGGCATATGGTGACCGTGATCGTTCTGAGAGACGAGGAGGAGGCGGTGGAGCACGTGGTGGTGGTGGTGGTGGTAGATTCGGCGGACGCGATGGAGGCGGAGGAGGCAATAGATTTGGCAGCAGCGGAAACAGAGACAACAATTTTGGAAACAACAATTTTAAAAATCGGCAGCCTGGGGAACGGTTACGTAAACCACGATGGGATATGAGCACCCTACCGCAATTCAGAAAGGACTTCTACCAGCCACATCCTAACGTAATGGCACGGAGTATTCACGCTGTAGAGGCATACCGTTCCAATAAAGAGATCACTGTGAAGGGGGCTAACGTTCCAGGTCCCAATATTTATTTCGAAGAAGGTGGCTTCCCAGACTATGTCCTCAACGAGATTCGTAGACAAGGATTTGGTGAACCGACCGCGATCCAGGCACAAGGTTGGCCTATTGCCCTGTCCGGCCGAGATATGGTCGGTATAGCGCAAACTGGTTCGGGAAAGACTCTTGCATACATCTTGCCAGCGATCGTACATATAAATCATCAGCCTAGACTGAGCAGGAACGATGGGCCAATCGCATTGATCTTAGCGCCAACTCGAGAATTGGCACAACAAATTCAACAAGTAGCATCAGATTTTGGTATGTCTTCTCAAGTGCGAAACACGTGCATCTTCGGTGGTGCCCCGAAAGGACCTCAGGCGCGTGACCTCGAGCGCGGCGTAGAGATTTGCATTGCCACGCCAGGACGTCTTATAGATTTTTTGGAACGCGGCACAACTAATCTACGTAGATGTACATATTTAGTACTTGACGAGGCCGATAGAATGCTCGATATGGGCTTCGAGCCTCAAATTAGGAAAATTGTAGAACAAATACGTCCTGACCGTCAGACTCTCATGTGGTCGGCGACGTGGCCAAAAGAAGTACGTAATCTCGCGGAAGAGTTTTTAACAGATTACATACAGATCAACATTGGTTCCCTACAATTAGCTGCTAATCACAATATTCTGCAAATCGTCGATGTATGTGAGGAATACGAAAAGGAGAGTAAGCTCATGAAATTGTTGGAAGAAATCTCAAACGAACCGGAAAATAAGACTATAATATTTGTCGAGACCAAAAGGAAAGTGGATGATATAACAAGAGCTATTAATAGATACGGATGGCAAGCGATTGGTATTCATGGAGACAAAAGCCAACAAGAAAGAGATTATGTATTAAATCGTAAGTGCTATTGTTACGATTTTCTAAATACACGAGAAGCAAATATTAACATTTTTATATAAATGTCACTTAAAATTTTTTGTTATCTTGAATCAACTCTATTTAAATAAGTAAAGTTGGAAAAATTCTAATTATAAATATTTATACAAAAATTGTTCTTGTAATATTAAAAATCTCAATACTTTATATAATTCTCTATACCCCAGATAGCCAAATGCAGTGTATTTGCTGATATGTTGCAGCAACCAATTTCGACAAACTCAGGACAAGGTGAGACAGCATTATGTCTGTCGCGTTGAACTCAATGGGAATTCAAATTCTTGCGATGGCAAATTGATGGCAATATGTCAGCACGAATATCCTCGACAACAACTAGTGTTGTCATATTGTCAGCATTTTGTTAGCAAAGAACTCAAGACGAAACGATTAATTATTCGTTGTTAACATGTTGCCGACATCATAATGTACCATCATTGCTCACAGTTCGCTCTAGAAATTTCGACATCTGACTACATATATAAGCAATCAAGTTGTATTTATAATGTGTCCTATTTTGATGTCAGCAAATATACAGCAAATATATAACAACATATGCAATGCATTAGTTTGCACAATACGCTACATCACGCTTGGCTATCTGGGACTTGTTCGAAAAAATTGAGCTGAATACTGTTTTTTATATTTACTTGATTTATCTTTATTTACTTTTACACTACTTTTTGGGACTGTAATATTATTTGTGATACAAGAGATGTTGTTTTAGAGTTCCGGAATAGCAGATCTGCCATCCTTGTGGCTACTGACGTGGCGGCGAGAGGTTTAGGTAAGAATTTGCAGATATATAGGTATGATGTAAGGGTCAGGCTGCGATGGTTATTTCACATTTGTGAAAGTCGTGGTATTGTAATGTGGCAACGGATAACGGCATGTGCCACCAGACTGATTGACATTACCTTCTTACCAGTGTGGCTGGAGATAATTTAATTATTCTTAAGGAATTCCAGGAGCGACTAGTTAAATATCCTATTTGATTTTGCCATTGACATCTTCAGTTTTATTAATTTTAATTGCTAATTCTTTCTTTTCGCCTACTAATTAATTGAGAGTTTCGGTGGTGCGCGTTTCGGTAGAGCGCACTAGAGCAATTAACATTGCCATTGTCTTTTCAGCAATACGATTAATGATGGAATAAGTTTTAATCGTTTTGTTAACTTTTTCTAAGTCTTCTTTTATCATAGGCATAGACTAGTATACACGTAGGTGGATTTTGGCGTTCTTTTGATATTTTTACGCATTTTATTTTTGAACGGTAACACTAACATTAAATAGATTTTAAACGATGTGATCGATAAAATAAACAATATAGAAAGAACGTCAAGATATTTCAGCTTTAAGAATAGGAAATCAGGTAAGCGATTTAGAGCCAGGTTTATCTCTTCTTCCGATTTTGTACTCTCAGATCGAAACAAGTCCTGTCAGTCTGGTATTAACGTGCTGTTCTATGTGTTTTCAGAGGCACATGCGACTGGAGTCTTAGAACTCTGCAACTAGCTTTGGAAAATATAATTGAACGGGGCGTGACTGCTGGTCGCCGCCCCCTCGCAACAAGCTAACCAAACGCTGTGCCTCGGCCACCTTGCCACTCGAAAAACACTCTCACTCTGTACCTGCGACGGTCCAAAGTATGGAAATTGTAATGTTAGGGCGTTTAGCATAAGGACGAAAAAGAAAAGAACAAAAAGGATAGATATTATTACCGGTTATACATTCGTTGGATTGATAGTAAATTGCATCAAGTCGCGCTCTGCATTATTTGTGATATTGTTTAAATGCCGCTTTTTATTTTCACGTAAAAACTCAGTATAAGTGTGGACAACTTTTAGAGCATATTCTGAAATCTTTGCATAATATTTATATTATTTATGAATTTGATTTGTCAAAGATTTTGTAAGTTAGGTCGAACAAATGAAGAATAGCGATAATTATTAATAATTATGGCATCAAAATAGGAAGGAGTCTTCACAATATTGCGGTGCGTTATTCTTGATGCTAATTATTTGATGGGGGAGTACATGTGGGGGTTGAGTGGAGAACGCAAGGTGCTCACTTGATGTTCCAACCTCTTCACCGAAGCAATGTACAAGGACCAAATTTCGAAATATCCAGCACAGATCCATACTTTGGTGCGGGAGAGAAGGGTGTAATGTTGACTAAGAATAAAAATGTAGAGCTCGCTAATACGTGAAGCGAGAATTCCATGAGAACCATCTGAGCTCTGATTCCTCTACATTTCCAAAAAATGTATTTACATTTCCAGCTCTAGTCGCAAACAGGTAATTACATGCAGACTTGCTCTTTGTGGTCAACTTGAATGTTATATACAAATTGCAAATGGAACTAAAGCTACTTTGTTGCATCTTGGAACAATATATTTTATTATTTGAGGTAACTTTTATGTTCTTGTCCGTCCTTCATGTCCAAAATATATTTTAAAATGTTTTAAAATGTCGACCACATAGCAGCAACATTGTAAATGCTTCAACATTTGTTGCAGAATATTCAATAATGGTAACTTGAGAGCAATCTTTAATTCCATTAGCAAAGAGCGTTCTGGTAAAATGCTTGAATGTATTCGCTTTATAAGTTAATTGAACCACAAAGGAACAAGTGTTTTCCGTGTGCTGTTATTATAACTTGGTGTATCTCGTAGATGTCGAGGATGTCAAATTTGTGATAAACTTGGACTATCCGTCCAACTCTGAGGACTATGTGCACCGTATCGGGCGTACGGGTCGTTCACAGCGTACAGGAACCGCGTACGCCTTTTTCACGCCCGGCAATGCTCACAAGGCTGGTGACTTAATTCAAGTTCTAGAAGAGGCCAAGCAAGTTGTCAATCCGAAATTATATGATTTATCCCGAAATCCTGGCATTTATAAAAGTGAGTCTTATTCTTTTTTTTTTTATTACAATTTAGAGATACTGTACTAAAACTTCACCTATTTAAAGACACCTATTTAAAAGTATAAAAAATAATTTTTCTAAGAAATATTTTGTTATTGCTAAAATTAGGGGGATTATTATTAATTAATAATTAGGAGGACGCTACGGTGGACGCAGCGGAGG